ATTTTGATGAAACTTGATACATAGATGCTCTTACCTAATTTGCATAATGATAAGTCAATTTTCGGCTTTTCCACTGATATATCAAGTATTAATCATCATGTTTTAATGAATCCTGATACATAGATATCATAGGACACTGAACAGACCTGATAGTTTTTAGGGTAATATCAGTATATATTAGTTACCTAATTTGTGTAATTAATTTTTAGCTTTTGATTTGTCAAGTACTAGTCATCACATTTCGATCAATCTTTGTACATAGATCCTCTAGGACTATGCAGAGACATGATTAGTTTTGAGGTGAATAATTGTGCATATTAATTACCAAATTTGCGTAATTAGCCAATTTTCAACTTTCACATATCTCAAGTACTAACCATCACATATCAATGAAACTTGGTACATAGATGCTCTTGGACAATATACAGACCTGATTAGTTTTGGGTTAAAATCTGTTCATAGTAATTCCCTAATTAGCATAATAATTCATGATTTCCAATGAAACTTGGTACATAGATAGTCTGTTACATTGCGCAGATCTCATTCAAATTTGTTCATATTAATTTCCTGATTTGCATAATTAGTTTTCAGCTTTTCCATCAAGTACAAGTGATTTTGAATTAAATTTTAATGTGTCTCCAATACTCTCAGCACAAAGGAGTTCTTTCTAAGCTTGGTTTGATTTTATTTTAGGTTGGTATAGAGAAACGAACAGACTGTCCGTCTTTGAACAACTGCTAGCGAACCTGCTAAACAAACTCTTCTGTCAATTCTACGGTAGTTTGTGCATGAAAAGTGGACGAGATTATTCTAAATCGTCACTTGTAGGCATACGTACAACATTTAATTGTAACCTAACTGGTTTCCCCCATAATCGGCAAATATCTATCATGAATGATCGTGAGTTTGGTCCCAGCAATCACGTCTTTTTTGTTCAGGTGAAGAAATTAAAGCGTGAGGGCAAACATGTGACAACTCATAAGACAACTCTCAGAATATGGTATTCTTAACATTGATACTGCACGGGAATACTGTGGAGAACGTGGTTTGATATCATGATTCATTTTGGTGGATGGGGTCGTGAAGGTTTGTGTCAACTTACGAAGACATCTCTGGAAAAATAAAGTAACGTTGATAGTCCGGGCGAAATTGAGGATTTTTTACTAACATTTATTACACAGTTTTCTGTTGATGTATTTTCTGAAAATTAAATTAATTAAATCGACAGGTATTATGATTTATGGTTGTTGTGTCTTATTTTATAAGTAACTGTGAGTATGCGTTTATGGTCGGGTTGCCACACAGTGACTCGTTATTGCACAGTAACATGACAAGTACTGGAAGTGACAGTTGCCTAATTTGCATAATGTAGTAAATATACTGCTTTTCCATTTATTTTTTATTCCACCAAATAATACTAACTACAAACTTGAAAATAACTAACTTTTAACTTGGTACATAGTACACATTTTCCTGCAAATGCTGCAGACCTGCTATTCGCGTTTTAGGGTTGAAATCTGTGTATATTAATTATCTAATTTGCATTAATTCATTTTTAGATTTACAGATATCTGGTTATCTAGTTATCTTAATAACTAAACATCATATTTCAATGATATTTGATACATGCTCTGGAATAAACCAGAACGGGCAATATATGACTAACATTTATCATATTACCATGTGACATGATCATATGACAAGGTTATCTGACATGGTCATGATGTATTAATAACTCATATCTAAATCACTGTTGGGGACACGGACGTGCAACCAATTAATGCAATAATAATGGCATTGTACTAGAGATACTAACACAAAATATGTCCGTATATAGTCATGTTACCACATTAATATGTATAATTAATATCTCATACACAGCAGCATGACCTATCACATGATCATGTGACCTCGTTAATTATGTGAGAATCATATTCACGTAAATCATTTTTTGATATGCGTGTGAAGCAAACTGGCAAATATAAAAAAAATGTATAGCACATGCACCATCACAGATGTCTCAACTCTGTTGTGTAAATTGCACCAGAAAAACAGTCCTCTATGTCTGATATATCTCAGTGGCTGCAATTGCATAACATAGTCCTTAATACATTTTATCATCTTCTACCAAATATATATATATATATATATATATATATATATATATATATATATATATATAGAACCTCTTCAACAATAGTGAACCACTCAATCAACCGATAGTACATCTCTCTGTACTTCAATAATGTCATAATGATATGTCCCCTCCTATATTCTTAAGAACCATTCATCAGATTTTAATGAAACTTCATTTGGTCCTATATCTCGACATGCCCAGGCGGTTTCATTCCAATTTTACACACACATCAAATACATATTCAAGATGGCTGAATAATGCTCAAAAATCACCAAAACTGGAACTGGATCTCACTAATGTATGGAAATTTTCTTATAACAAATGCAGTTCCAGGATCATATATCTAACATGCCTTGAACGATTCCATTCAATCTTTACATATACATCAGTGTCATGCTAAAAATGCATTATGAATGCCATGGACAGAATAAAGAAAGGCATCACACAAATAAACTGTAAATAGTTATAGGACACAAATGTTTACAGTCATTAAAACTGAACAGAGACTTGTTATTGACAATGTTTTTTCATGTATTTTAGCCAAGAAGCAAGTACTACAACGTCAACACACTATTGACAATGTAACCCTGACAGTGAAAGAACCACCAAAGCGCAAGAAACTACCAAAGGACAAACAATGTTTATTAATAACAGGACTTGCAGATAACACATCAAAAGAAAATATTGAACTGTTTCTGGAAAGTAGAACTGGCATAGAAGGCAATTCCAAAATATTATTTGGTGAAGAACCAGGTACAATGCTAGTAATATACAACCAAGACATACAAGGTATAACGTTGATTTTAATGGAAAATAATCTGTCTGAATTTTTCCCTTGATTCTTAGGTTGACTAATTCCTAATTATTATGCATTTCATATGAATTTAATTATTTTTTTATTATTCACTTATGCAAAGAAAGATACAGTATTGTCATTATCCTCAAAATTAAACTACAGTCAAATCCAAAATCATTCTAAACATTATTCTTAACATATAGGTGTCATGATGATTTTTCTCATGCTATCACAATACCAATGACAAATCACGATGTTTATAATTCCAGAAATACAATTGTATGCACAGTTTCTGGGCTCACTTCATATAAACTTTTGGTTATCCATGCACATCCACATGTTTCCATCGTTCTTCACATATATGGTACAACTACCAATCATTCCTTCAACACCTGCCTAAGCCTTTCATATCATGTGTGTGTGACAGGTCTGTGACATTCTCTTATCGACTAATAATTCATCAGTCATCATGTGTCTCTTCAATTTTCATGAACCAATGACTTCACCAGATTTTTGAGTCATTTGTCCATCAGTGGTCTTGCTGGTTCTCTCTGGCGCATGCAAAATTTCCCCCTGTAACAGCTCAACACAGAAGTTGTTTAACTTGTCACTACGTCACATGATGAGTTGTCATTGGCCTCTACTACAACTATGCATCTATCGTTCAACCATCATACCATACAAGTTCGTCAAATCACCATACCGCTAATTACGTGATCACAATTCCCTGCCAACCAGTCAAGTAGTAGCTATAACCTGCACAGATTGGTTCTACTTGTTATAATCTTTTAGCAATATTAACGTGTTACACTCTTGTTCACTACCAAACATCAAGCAACGGTAGAAAAGGAACTTAAATATATGCATATATTTGCAAGCTCATGTAACAACAACATTTACCAAATATGTTACTAGCAAAGCTACATCCAGTAAACATACTTCCAATAAACATATCCTCCATGAATCTGACCGACGCTAACTATAATGCTAACGCTAACTATGGCAATGGCAACATAGGTCATCGTTTTACAGACATTGACAAACTGGGTTTCCCACTTGCTACAATGATTTAGCTTGGAACTTTCTGTACATGTCACTTAACTTGCACATATAAAACCAACCTTGAGACAGCTGTGCTACAACATCACGATGATAAGAATTCCTAGTTACTAATTCTGTTACTCTAACATAGCTAACATAGCTATATATGTCAGCTATATTTGAATTGTGCATTACTATCTAGTCACTGTGGGGTGGTGGTCACTATACATTCATTTTGAACTGCGTTTTTAGCACAGTGAGTGGGATGTGGTAGGTAGTGCGTCTGTCTACAGTGGCGACTTCGTTAGGCCTTACATGAAATAGTGATAACAAGGCCACACTTATCACACACAGTTATCATATACTATAGTCTCATAATGATTTTAAACCATGGATTACGATGTAACAAAAGGATATAACAAAATGTGTTTTCTAATTGTCATTTTCAGATTCACATTTTCAAACGATTGTCCAGAAAGTTAGTGAACGTTCACTGAATGGTGCCACACTTGTGGTGAAAGCGGTGACTGTAACTGACAGTATTCTGATTCTAAATCTACCAGAAAATATCACTAAAGACACAATTGAATTTTATTTTGAGAATCAGAAAAAAAGTGGTGGTGGTGATGTAGAAGAAGTAACACTAGATCATGAAAAACATGTTGCTGTTGTATACTTCGAAGACTATCAAGGTATGGTCATTAATATTCGTTACTCAATCAACACACTGTTATGTTATTCCATTCGTATAATTTTGTGTATATTCGTGAAATGTCTCTCGTCCTGAGAACCTACATTTCGTGGGAACATTGCAATCCATATATAATAGCATGCATGCGTATAGCTTCTCTTAGACTATTACGTGC